GACTGTGATAAATCAGGAATGATTTTAATCTCTAAGGGAACAATCTTTAAAAGTTAAATGGATAAGACATAAGCTAATATATGGTAATGTTTTAAATAGGAAACAAAAATGATTAAACCCAAATAAAACATATAAGGGAAGAAATGTTATACTATAGAAACAAACATTTGTATAAAATGAAAGATGATATAGCTATACTACTCAGACACTTTAAGGCTATAAACATTAGAGATGAAGACAAAATGCATCATCATGATTAAGCTGTCGATCCAACAGGAAGATATGAATCCTAAATCTCTATTTGTCAAATAGTCAAACTTCACAATATGTAGAGCCAAATTTGACTAAAGGTAGACTTGAGGATTCCATATTTGTAATGTGAGACTTTAACAAACCTTCCCCACTGCTAAAAAAATAAATCAGTAACGATAGAGACTTTAACTACATGATTAGCAAACTTGATGTAATTGATATATATATATATATATATATATATATATATATATATATATGGACTACTGTACTGTATTTAAAGATGTATGTGAGGCCACTCTCACTTTCTGAGACAGACCACATTCTGTCTTTGGAATATGTATCTGTCTAAATAAACCTGCTTTCACCTTAAAAAAAAAAAAAAAGAAAGAAAGCAACATATAAGATCTATGGGATAATATAAAACATGCCAACCTAGGCATAATAGGTCCCGTTGCGGAGTACAGGCTCCGGACGCGCAGGCTTAGCGGCCATGGCTCACGGGCCCAGCCGCTCCGCGGCATATGGGATCCTCCCAGACCGGGGCACGAACCCATGTCCCCTGCATCGGCAGGCAGACTCTCAACCACTGCACCACCAGGGAAGCCCGCAACATTACTTTTTACAGTGATCTTTCTAAAAAGTACAGCATTTGAAATAGCGATAGTCACCATTTTAATCTCTTTCATTGATAAAACCACACCAAGAGCAAAAATAGAATTCTCAGGTCATTCTTTAATTAATCAGTAATTATTTTTAATATTATATATAAGCCATAATGCTAAACATGGAATATGAAAATCCCACTGATAAGGAATTTATAGTTAAAAGATAAGACATATGCACACATAACAATAATATAAATCAAAAAGAGGCAAGTGCCCAAGGAAAAGAAGATATAAAGCACAACAAGACTCCAAGGCTGTCCTGCCTACAAAGGACATTATTGGAACAACCAGCAAAGCACTGGGATCTGAGGGTTAGATGACAGCACTAGATCAATGTCAATTTCATAATGGTGCTGGTTGCATTGTGGTTAAGTGTGTGCTACATTGTAGGAAATATACACTAAAGTACTGAGGGACTATCAAGCATAATGTTGACAATTTATTTGCAAATGATACAGAAGAATTGTTCTTCATAGTATACCTGCAACTTTATTGTACCTCTGAGACTGTTTCAAAAGAAAAAACTTCAAATTTTTAAATGATGATTGTAAATAAAGTGGTATCATTCTAAATTTAACACAAGTTTTAAAAATGTATTCCCTGTTAATTCATGTTGCCTATAAACACACGGGTATTTACTCTGCTTCGTTCGGCAAAATCTTCAGACCCTTGAGGGGAAGGTCCAGTTTTAATTTAATTTACATGGTGCACAACCTTTGCTACCTTCAATCCTACCAGCCTTAGAGACAGTTATTTGCTGTTTGACAATGTTAGATATTTTAAGTTCTGTGCCCACATATATTTTTATTAAAAAAGAAACCATAATAGTGTTGAATGGCCTAGAAACTTCTCTTTACATCCAACAAAAAGTTGATGTTCTCCTTATGGATTATTAGAAACCTCATTTAAAAATGAGGAGACTGAAGCTGAAGAAGCATCAATAAGTCACTGGAGGTGCCATGAGCTTGTGGTGCTGGAACCTGGGCCATGTTCCTCTGACCTCTCGCCCGAGTTCCCTCCATCACATGGTGTGTCCTTGCTCCTCCTGGAAGGTCCTGTCCAGTGCCCCCTGAGAGTCAGGAAATTCTGTGCCTCAGAGCACAGTCATCAGGAGGGGACCAGGGTCACCCCCAGCGCTGAGCTGACAACCTCTCTGGGTCAGTTCCCTCTTTTCTAACAATAGTACTCTTCTTCCTCCTAAGTCGGGGGTAAGGCACTTGGAGGATTAAATATAAGGCACTTAGATCAGTGCTTGGTGTATAATAAACATTAGATTATTACTATTCTAAACATCATATACCCTGATTTTTAAATGATCATGGCTCTTTTAGGAACTTAAACAACTGGAATGAAGGGATGTGAACAAATGCATTTTTCACTACTAGGGAATATGTATCTCAATTTTCTCTTAATTTAGGGGGAGTGCCTTGGTTTGCTAGAAACATATTCATCATCTAACTGGAGAAGCCTTCATTCACCACTGTTGTCTGTCAGTCAGAAAGTAACAGATATGTCTCAGTCTTCATCTCTAGAAAACTGAAGACCCTTATATGCCAATAGGTCCCTGGGAGTCTACCCTTAATGACCCAGAATTCTAAAAACACGTAAAAATTTTAAACTTTCATTTACCCTTTTCAAAGTTTCAACCATTCCGCTTCTCACCACTTTTTGTGTAGAGCAGGTTACAGTAAGCTACCACACCCACCTGAAAAGAATCACTCATTACTTTGCACATTCAGTCCTGTTATCACAAAGAAGTAAAAACAGAACAAACATGTTCAATATGGATCCTTACTCATGATGCTATCAGTCAGTCTGAAGAGGCAAAAAGTATCTGAAAACCATATAACAGAAAGTCCAAAGAGGTCTTAGAACCAAGCCTACCAGCAGATTCCACTCATCAATTCATATATATATATATATATTCATTTAATGTTTACTGAATACTTCCTAAGTGCCCAATACTACCTAAATCTAAGTGCTGGGGATGTTGTCGTGGACAAAAGAAATAGTTCTGCCTTCTTTGGACCTGTATTTTAATGGATGTTACTCAGGAATTAGCATAGTTCTGTCGGTATACAAGGCATATACAATTATCTATTATTTGTAACAGGTGCTTTAAGCTCTCCTACTGAAGATGGTGATCAAAACAATCCGACCCATTCGTACTGAAACTAGTATCACTGTGAACCACTCCCACCAAAAAGTGATTGTTTTCCTGACACAGTGGAAGTCTGAACCATCAAATTTAAAGACATCAACAATATAAAGAAAACCACAAGTGTAACCAGTGCCATATGGTACTGGTTCTCCTTTCACGGGGTATGACAGTAAGAAATTCTGGGTAGCTATCTGGTTTGTCCAGAGTCAGAAATTTATATTTTGTGAAAGTAATTTACTTTGAAAGGCTAAAAACTCCCAAATAAAATACTCTAAATCACTGCAAAATAAAATTCCCTCATAAATATAGTTGTCCCCAATGTTCTCTATTTTTTCTGTATATGTTTCTGCACGTGGATACACCAGCTTAAAATAAAACGTTCATGTGTCTTCATATAATATACAGACATGTATCTTATGTATCTACATAAACGCATGTACACAGTATATGGAATGCGTGCACGAGATACACGTTGACACGCACACCGACATCACACCGTTAAGACCTGTTGAAGGCATTACTCTCTCTGGTGTTTCCTCCTTTCTTCCACCTGGTTCTTGGTTGAGAGAGGGCTGGCAGGAAACACTCGAGGGAAATGAAAGCTCTCTGTACCTCCAAATGGTTCCATTTTTTCCAGTTTCCATCATGTACTGAGTACCAGGTAAAAAAACACTCACGCCCTCCCTCTCCGCCTCATGATCGAGTCACATGCCTGCAGCCACAATGGGGACCAGGCGCCAGCGCTACATCACCCATGGACTGGGTGACACACCAGGAGAAATCCCAGCCTCAAAGGGACACCACATGGACGCACGCTTTAAAAGTACCAAATCCAAAAAAAAAAAAAAAGTACCAAATCCAAGAATGGACAAGCAGCTGGAACACACTCTCCTCAAGGGAGTGGTCAGGGATGGGGGTCTGACTCCTGCCCACCACACGTGTCTCCAGAGCCAGAAATTACTTGACTGGGTACAGAAAAGCCCAGGACCAACCAACACCAGGCCCCAGAGAGCACAGAGGTTTAAATACCAGCCAGACCACAGGCAAGAACAGAAACAAAATGAAAAAAATAGGGGCACACGGAGACTTTCTCCCAGATACAATCCAGCACACTGAAAAGAGAATCTCTTCCTCACTACGTGAATCAATGTCATTTAATGCTGTGCCCCAGCTACAGCCATTTCATGCAGCCCTGCCCGGACTGCACTTCTGAGAGCACCATGACCAGGTCATTCTCCTCATTCCTGTTCCCTGCCAACTTCTTAAGTGAAAGTGCTACTAGAAGAAAGACAGGATGTCCTGCCACTCAGTGAATGAAACTCTGGCAGATAGAGAAACAGAGTCAGAATGAATTAAATCCCAGGCTCAGCACCAACACGGCCTGTGTGACCTTGGGCAGGTTGTGTGGACGCTCCATGCCAAGTTTCCTCATCTGCAAAATGGGTAATAATAGCAGCTACTGATAGTTTCCATGTGAAGATTAAATGCATCAGCACATCACACTATACTCCTCTCAAATTAGCGTCCGCCTAAGTACTGATTATATTTCAAAAGAGGGAATCTGAAAGACCTCATGTACAACATGGTTTGAATAACAATTTTTTTTTTTACATCTTTACTGGAGTATAATTGCTTTACAATGGTGTGTTAGTTTCTGCTTTATAACAAAGTGAATCAGTTATACATATACGTATGTTCCCATATCTCTGCCCTCTTGCGTCTCCCTCCCTCCCACCCTCCCTATTTTAAAACTATGAGACCACACATTTATTTAATATGTTCCTAGAAATTATTTTTACAAACCCATAGTTGTGTAAATTCAGTGCCCCCGGAACAAATTTCCTCAGAGGACATGGAAGCAACGAGCCTGGACGTATATGTTGTTACATCCTCACACATAAAATTTCCCTGTTACTCACATTCTCATAGAGAGCTTGAAGGGTCTCCAGGTCAACCACAGAATTGTCCAAGTTCACCACAGCTGCGCAAAAAAGACAAAAGAAAGAATATAAATTGCCATAAGCCAGCTGTGAAAAGCTCCAACCATCTCAAACAATAGTGACCGTCCACAGAGTGGAGTTCATACTGGGCAGGCAGAGGGTGGGGGCTCTGCCTTCACGGCAGCCTCCTGTTGGGCCGCCCCCCAGGCCGAGCTGGCATTTCAATGGGTCTGGTGTCAAGTGTCAAAGCTTTCATGCGCTCCACAAATACAAAATCCCAGGAAGAGGGCCCAATGGTCACAAAGAAACTGTGAGTCTGTCTCTTTCATGACTCACCTGAATGAATTTGAAAAATCTGCTTAATACCAGAAAAATAGGCAAATCACTCATGTCACTGCCACATCCTGTTTCTTGTTTGTTTGTTTGCGGTATGCGGGCCTCTCACTGTTGTGGCCTCTCCCGTTGCGGAGGACAGGCTCCGGACGTGCAGGCTCAGCGGCCATGGCTCACGGGCCCAGCTGCTCCGTGGCATGTGGGATCCTCCCGGACCGGGGCACGAACTCGTGTCCCCTGAATCGGCAGGCGGACTCTCAACCACTGCGCCACCAGAGAAGCCCACACATCCTGGTTTTACACCAATAAATGCAAATATCTGCCAATTTATGTAAAGACGTTTGACAAAGGTTAAATCTAATCCCTAAACTGGTAGACTAATATGGAAACAGCAGGTGCATTTCCTGTTGCAACTTTTAAAATTGTTATAATCAAAGGAAAATTCTTTGATTATGGTATTGAGATTGGCACAGATGCATCCTTAAAAATCCATCTTTAATATACAAACTGCCCTGCTTACACAAGGAAGAAGTAGAATGGATAATCAAAAACTGGATATGTGTTCTTAAGTGCATTTTCTGGCCTGGGAAACGTGTTGAATTTTGGAATTGGTGTGTTTTATTACTTAATTTAGGTGTAGGTTAACCAAAAGCATTTTGCATTAGTTGTGCACAAATTAGCTGGAAATGAGGTGAATTTGCTCTGATCAAATATGTGCCAAGTAGTCACTGAAGCTGTTGTGGGATTAAAGATTTCTGGGAGAAAAATCACAGAATGGATAATCAAAAAGTGGTTAGACTTACTTTGATAATTGTGGCATTTCACAATGCTTTTTTCCTCAAAGCTTAAAGTACATGACACATTTTCTAGTTGACTCTGGCACAATCCCAAGAAAGAATTAAGAAAGCCAAATTCAATACTGAAACACAGGATGGATAAGAAATCTCACCAAGATAATTTAGCATTTCTGTCTGGAGATGGGAAGTGAGTCCAGATTCACCAAAAAATATCATATCAACTAGAATATAATACTTCTAGCCTAATAATATTCCACTATCTCAATCTCCAAAAAAATTAGGTCTCAAGTTTAAATCTAAGAATTAAGATTTGTAATCAAATACTTTTTACTGTTTAGACCATATAAGGCAAACATACCACAAACTGTTTAATGTTTCAAAGTAGTAAACCATAGCCCAGCTATGACTAAATTTCAAACGCTAATTAAAAGGGATTAACAAATGATTTTCACTAGCGGTAATATGGCTAAAAATAATGTAACAAAATACATAAAACTAAAATAAAGATATCATCTTCATGCATGGAATTACCATTTTTAGATTACATTCATGCAGAGTCTAGCCCTTAAGGAGACTCTTAGAGTGAATCCAAAGTTCTCTAACTTTGGAATTCATTAGCTAATAATCCAATATTTCTATATTCCTTGGGAGATACACTGAGAGATCAACAGGAAACTATGGAGGAAATGCTAGTCGTCCACTTAACACAAGGTTTCATTTTCAGAACAAGGAAAAGAAACACAATAAAATCATTCATGCTCAAGTCAAAACTCATAAAAGATACGATTAACCTTTGACTTTATTATTTTAAAACATAGTATTATTTCTACAAGTTTTCCCTA